TTAGGTTGTGGATCGTTAGTATCACTAGATTGATTGTTGCAAGAAAGTATAGCTGATTATGATAATCTTTGGCTTCCTGTAGACAACCTCCCACTCCGCTCGCTGTTTGCTTGTAGGAAGCCAAGATAGTATCGCTGAAAAAATTGTAGTCATTGAGCTCTGTTGAGGATGAGGAATGGAGCTCTCTGAGTTTGATGTAATAGTGCATTGCTGCATCCAAGTTGTTCATTCTTTGGCTCTGCAACGCAAGCAAAAAGTACACCTTATCTACAATTTTGTGGTAGATCACAAGCTCCTGTGAGGAAAATCGACCTGCATTGTAGTCATCGATGAATTTCCACAATTGTGGGAATTCGTCCCTGTTAAAAGAGTGCCACTGGTTACATTGGAATTTGGCAAGCACCTGATAAAAATTAATTAATAAGCCAAAGTACTTTAATCGAAGTACTTTGGCTTCCATCTCATTGCTGGAGATCATGACATGCTCGCTGAGTTCATAACCAATGTATTTCTGACATTGTGCAAACAACATTTCCGTACGATTCTTGCCGTCCCACGATTTTATCACGTACGAGACACCACAGTAAAAATAAGATAACATGCTGAACTCGCGCAAGGTCAGCCAATTGATCTGTAGCGGTAGTGTAAAACTTTGGTGTGCTATATTGACGTCAACGGGGATAGAAAACCGGAAGTTTCTAGCCCAAGGTTCCAAAGCCTTCAGCTCTCTGATTAAAGCATCGATTTTGCTCATTTTGCTTTTCGTGCTTTTGAAGTCATCATCCTGAATGGATATTAAAAGGTCCAAAATTTGAGTGATAGCCTTGAACTGCGGAGGCTGGAATTTCGTATAATGAGCGTAACTTTCTAAAGACTCTTTTAGTCTGCCGTATTTTTGTAATGAGTATTCTATCGAGTTTCCACGAAATAAATGGAATTGAAGCTGACACACAAGAATCAACTGAAGAAATCCAAATGTGTTCTCATTCAAATTATTCTCCAGTCTTTCAACAATGCGCTCATAGTTGCGGTAAATCTGATCTTCCTCAAAAATCATGCCAAAATATTGAATCTTCAAATACTCTATTATGCTTGTCAAGGTAATGCTATTCAGAGATTCGTAATGCTGTGCTAAGCTCATGAAATAAGAAAAGCTTGTCCTTTTGCCCTTCGAGTGGTCTGTCAAATATTGTATCTCAAAGTTTAAAAGCTCCAAACGAACTTGATACTCCAATGACTCGCTTCTTTTGGCGAGTTGCAATCCGCGACTGCAGTAATCTGACGCGAGATCAAGGCTTGTAGTTTCTCTAAGTAAGATTTCTGTAATTTTATAGTGGATGAAAACCTCGTCTGCCAGCGTAAGTAAACCCCTGTACTGTTCAAGGGCATTGAATAGGCAGCCGAGACTAGCCCTCACGTAATTGTTGTACTCCTGTAACTTCTCTTCTGCTTGCAGCGATGTTGATCCCTTCTTGTAAGCCTCATCGAGAAACCAGTTAGACAGTTGTATAAGTTTTTCAAGCTTCTCTAAACCCGTCGATGGCTTTGAACCGCGTTTGCATGTGTCATCCTCAGTCATTTAACAAAACCAACGTGATAATTGATTCAGATAAAGGGAGATTTTATTTTGTACCAGTAAGAATACATGACATCTGTACACCGTCATCCTCGAATGAGAAAAAAGACTCGTCTGGTGAAATTTGCCACCCAGAAGACCAGACGCTTCAAAGTCATGGCAATGGAGGCGCACAATGTTTGAGAGCTCATGGAGCAGGTTAGCTACCATGGAAAGTTACCTTTGACGTGCTCTTTACCTGCTATTTGCCGTTTGCTTGAATTCAGCGGTTACCCTACCGCTGGCAAAAAAAAAATGCAAAAAATATCGAGAGTATAAATAGGACCCAATCCCCCCTTATTGACGGAGCGAATTTTTAGCCTCAATTTCGGTGCAAGGGTTTTTTCAATAGTGCACCAATATCCTTAGAGATCTGATAAAGCACTTTATCTCATTAGGAAAGGAATCATTTGGTTGAACATCTTTTCCCGAAAACAATCGATTTATAGTTGGATGAGTTGTAATATAGATATATCACGGTTGTAAACATGGATTCACTCAAACTCCCAACTACAGCAGCTAGGGCAAAGGCATTTACTGCCCAAGGCTCCTTAGCCTTCCCTATGATGACAACAGACATGGTCAAAGATGAATCGCAAGATACAGACAAATACGATATCCTGAAGAAGGAGCCAGAAGAGAAGATGCTCGATATGAACGATCAGGTGGCTGACGATGCAGCAGCATCAGGAATAGTGCCGACGTTACAGAATATTGTTGCCACTGTGAACTTGGACTGTCGCTTGGAGTTGAAGACTATTGCTCTTCATGCTCGTAACGCAGAATACAACCCAAAGCGTTTTGCTGCAGTTATTATGCGTATTAGAGAGCCAAAGACCACAGCCCTTATATTCGCTTCGGGAAAGATGGTTGTGACGGGTGCCAAATCGGAAGATGATTCGAAATTGGCTGCCAGAAAGTACGCTCGTATCATCCAAAAGCTTGGTTTTAACGCTAAATTCACTGACTTCAAAATCCAGAATATCGTTGGCTCGTGTGATGTCAAGTTCCCAATTAGACTCGAAGGGCTAGCATACGCTCACGGAACTTTCAGCTCGTATGAGCCCGAATTGTTTCCGGGTCTCATTTATAGAATGGTGAAGCCCAAGATTGTTCTACTTATTTTCGTTTCAGGGAAGATTGTCTTGACGGGTGCAAAACAAAGAGAGGAGATTTATAAGGCGTTCGAGGCTATCTATCCTGTTCTTAGCGAATTCCGCAAGAGCTAGATTGCATAACTTACTGTATACTATGGAGATAGCTATGTCTGGGGTTTTTTTTATTTTTATAAAAAGAATTGCACAGCCCGTGCGCGATTTTGATCAGGAAAAGAAAAAAAATATTTTCTAGCGTAGTCAGGGGAGAAAGCAAAAAATCAAAATTGGGTTTCGTTTTGAAGAAAACAAGGATTTTGAAAAAATAAGCAATCTCTATCACAACACTGTGCATAGAAAACGACCTATCTTTGGCTGATAACGCGTCCACGACGTATCTCAGATCCCTATAAGCGTTGTCCTTCGGAACCACCTCGACAACCAGCAGTTTGACCCCAATTTCCTTCGGCAGTGGAGAAGATCATCCTACTTTAGAACACACGTCTGTATGTCATTATCAGAAAAATCCATCAATACAGTTGGTACTGATTCCAAAACTAAGAGTGAAACACATCTGGAAAAGCCTTCCACGGGGAAAGGCATGATTAGCAACAAAGCCAGTCAACAGCAACAACCTATGCCACGCCCTATTTTGTTCAAAAGTGGCAGTTCTGCGAGCTCGATCATATCGAAGCAGTCAAATCTGCCACCGTTGAACACCACATTCGACAAAGCCCAAAAAAACACACAGCCAATCTCGCAACCAACACCCTTGGGGGACTCGGTTCCATACACGCCTTCGAGTCAGGCGCACACTTCTGGGGACTTGACTTCTGAATCAAGTACGCCTATGAAATCAGCTAGCTCCATTTCATTCCAGGTACCCACCGTCAACCCTCAGAAACACCGTGGTTCCATCAGTGCTCGACCTTCAACTACTAAACTGTCCCTCCTCGAATCTCCAGCTTCTGGAGTCCCAAGTTCAAGACAGCCTTCTGGCACTCATCCTCCTATTGCACTGGGTCATGAGTTACCCCACCAAGTCAAACATACGGATGTTGGGTCGTCGAAAACAACCCCTACAACAGCTGTACCACTTCATTCCGCTCTCGGAAAAGAGTCAAGAGAGCATAGCGTTTCGTCAATCCTTAGTGACAAACACCCAAGCTCGCATTCCTCACCGAGAAATCTCTCGTCTCCCTCTGGCGTTACTTCCCCTGTGTCTTTTGACCTGGGTCGTCAGTCATCTCAAAACTCATCTGTTGGAGGCGACACTCTTCGAAACGAGATACTGTTCCAGCCTCTTTCGAACGAAAACCGGGTGCAATCTCCTCCAATGGCTTCCAGAAAGAAGACTACTACCACGCCCAAAACAGTGGTTTCCACTCCAACCGGTCCGGTGGTCCCATTCACCGAATATCTCAGCAAGGAGGACGATGACAAAATTCATATTCTGATCGGTGCTACTGGCTCGGTGGCAACCATCAAGATTCCAATGATAATTGACAAGCTTTTCAAGCTCTATGGAGTAGACAAGGTTTCGATTCAGTTGGTGGTTACGCAGGCCGCAGAGCACTTTTTGCATGGACTCAAGATTTCTACAGAGGTGAAAATTTGGAGGGAGAACGAAGAATGGTCGACACCAATGACAAGGCCTGGTGACCCGATATTGCATGTTGAGTTGCGAAAATGGGCAGACATTTTCCTGATTGCTCCTCTTTCAGCCAACACTCTTGCCAAAATTGCCAATGGTATTGCCGATAATCTACTCACGTCAATAATCCGGGTGTGGAACCCAGCCATTCCTATCATTATGGCTCCCGCAATGAACACTCTGATGTACACACACCCGATCACAAAGAAACACTTTGCTGTCATAAAGGAAGATTTCAAATTTGTTGAGGTGTTGAAACCGATTGAGAAGGTGCTCATATGCGGAGACATAGGAATGGGCGGAATGAGAGAATGGAGCGAGATTGTTGACATTCTTTACCGGAAGATGAAGACATTACAGGCAGAAAAGTTGAGAAAGGCAAATGAGAGGATTGAAGAGGAGGAAGAGGAAGAGGAAGAGGAAGAGGAAGAAGAGGAAGACGATGATGAAGACGATGAAGATGACGACGACGACGACTTTGACGATGACTTTGATGACGATGAAGAGGATGACGTGGAGTCCACTGTCATTGAGTCAAAGCCGTCTCGTGGATGAACTCGCATTTTCATGGTGTATTACGAACGGTCATGTAAAAATAATGTACCACTTAATTGCGCGGTGTAAAAAATAAAAATATCTGGCATGGTTTTTGCTTTGAGGTGGAAGATAGGCCTCGGTGTTTTAGCCGCCTATTCTGGCTATACCACCTACATATATGTGAGGACTCAACTGGAAATCCGCAGACGTCAGGAGACAAAAGCAAAACAGCTGGAAGCCGGACATGACGATTGCGATAACTGCCATTATGACACTTTGCTGGTGAACGGGCGCTTTGAAAATCCGTTCCCGGAGTACAGGCCACAGACTCTGTTTGAGTTTTTCGCAATGCGTGTTCTAGATCTGCTCGAGTTTGGGAGGCGTGGCGGATTGCCGTCCTCGAAAGATGAGTTGCGGTCTAGTTTGCCAATCGTGAAGCCAGATACAGAACTCTTGAAAGCCACTGCACACGGCAGAGCCACGCAGCACGAGGATGAGCTCCCGCCACTTTCCGATCGGCTCACTTTCACGTGGTTTGGGCAGTCTTGTTCTCTGCTGCAGGTTGGCAATGTGTCATTTCTCACTGATCCGTTGTTCGAAAATCATCTCGTCAATAAACTGTTTGGCCCCAGGAGAATTGCCCCCGCTGCGATGTCTCTGGACGAGCTGATGGAGACGGTAGTAATACCAGAGTTTGTTCTTGTGTCGCATGACCACCCTGACCATTTGGAAGAGGAATCGGTGAGGAAGATTGGCAACAAGTCAATTTGGATTGTTCCCGTTGGCGTGCGACATTTTCTGGCCAAATACGGGGTGTCCAACGTGATAGAAATGAACTGGTGGGACCGGGTTCCGCTGGAGACGAACACACCTGATAAATACGAGATTGTCTGCGTTCCTGCCATGCACTGGTCGGGAAGACAGCTGATAGACACTAATAAAACGCTCTGGTGCTCGTTCCTGATTCTGCGAAATAACAAGTCGATTGTGTTTCACTGTGGCGATACAGGCTACTCGCCAGACCTGTTCCAGCTCATTGGACGAAAATATGGTCCTGTGAAGCTCGGTGCCTTGCCCATTGGCCAATATTGTCCGCAGTGGCACCAGCGGCCTCGACACATCACTCCCGTCGAGGCAATTCGGATTGCCAACGACATGAGCATTGAGAAGATGGTGGGCGTGCATTGGGGAACGTTCATTTTGAGCTCCGAACAGTATTTGGAGCCAAAACAGAAACTGGAAGAGTTGGCTCAGATACAGGGCCGCACCAAGAGCGTGCTGGTGCCTGAACACGGACAAACAATGGTCTTCGACACGTCCAGCATTGACTTACTGAACGAAAAGGACCCGATAGAGGTGAACGGTAGCAAGATATATAAATAAATTCTACTACTTAGTGGTCTTGTTGCAGAAGTTTTTCCATTGCCTCGAACTCTTCCTCCTTAATTGGATACGAGTGAGTCTCTACGTTTGGGAAAGTGCCTGATTTGACGTCCTCCACGTAGTGTTCGATTGCGTTGACGGCCTCAGAATGGAAATCCATGTATTTCTGGACGAATTTGGCGGTAGGAGAGTCCAGCATGCCAAGAAGATCCGCCTGCACCAAAACCTGCGCCGAGGTTCCTGGGCCGGAGCCGATGCCAATGGTTGGAATATCCAGCTTTTCAGTAAGATACTGCGCGACCTTGTGCGGTATACACTCCAGAAGAAGCATAGAGCAGCCAATGTCTCTGAGGTACTCTGCCTCTTTTATAATATTTGCGGCATCCTGCGCTTTTCTTCCTTGCACCCTGTAGCCACCAACAGCATTAAATTGTTGAGGTTTCAATCCTATGTGACCCGTCACAGGTATTCCAATCTCTATGAGCCGTTTTATCTGCTCGCCATGCTCAAACCCACCTTCGACCTTCAGCGAGCCGATTTTCCCTAATTTCATGAGCTTGACTGCTGACTCAACGCACTGTGAAACACTAGCCTCGAACGATCCGAAGGGAAGGTCAGCTATGACAAACTTTTGATTTACCCCTCGAAGAACAGACTTGCATGCGTAGTAGTAATCGTCAAATGGAATTTCCAGTGTGGATGCATATCCTTTGGATACCATGGCCAAAGAGTCTCCAATCAAAATGATATCCAATTTCTCGCTCGAGTCTGCTATCCGACCAGTAATGTAGTCATGAGCTGTGATCACCGCCAGAGGCTCCTTGGCGTTATACAGTTTTTTGATGTCTGTCAACGTCTTCTGTCTGACGGCTACGTGAGACGAATAGCGAGCCCCTAAATGCGGGGCCAACGATCTAAACACGGAGAAGGAGCTCATTGATTTTTTTTTTGAAATATTTTTTGTAATCTAAAACGGGAGCAGTAATGCGGCTCACTCTAAGCCCAAGACCATTTACCTTACGTGGGGGAGAGGGGCCCCTATGAGATACAATGTGCTCCGTTGGAGCAAGATGCCGAGCAAGCCTTAAATTCGTATACCTGCCAAAGAAAATAAATAATCACTTTTGTGGAAAGCTAGGACAACTTATCCTTGAGTTCCTCCCTGGCATAACGCAAGCCACAATAGCCACAGGTTCCAGGCATATCCTTGTCGAGATTTATATAGACCTTAGGGTGGCCCTGGAAGATGTCTGTTCCGCTACAGACCGCAATGTTGTTGTGTATGTATCTAATAGGCTGTTGGGCAATCAAGTCTATTGCTGCTTGCGGGTTAGGCTGTTTTGTGAGGTCCCTGCCAACGAAGCGAACATTGGTCTTAATAATATGGTCTTTAGATGACTGGCTAGGCGACCATGTTGCAGCTCTATTTGGTGCCTGTGCAATCTCAATTTCGTCTTGGCCTTTCCTGGTAATTGGAGCTGTTTTAGGCAGCGTTAAAGAGGATTTCTTTCGAGTTTGTAGGGCAAACTGGCACGACCGTCTGAGCATAAGGGATAATTTTGAAATCAAATAATTTCCCCACAATTTTTGCCGGGTAAATTTTGTACAAGTATAAACCCTAGATGCTATATAAATCGACCAAGTCCTCCAAAGCCTCCAGAAGAAAACGAGCCTGGAGGACCAGGCGGACCTTGAGGGCGTCTGAAACTTCCCTGTCCCGGCAGCCCCATATGTCCTGGAAGTCCAGCACCCAAAAGGTCGGGGTCCTCGTCAGGCCCCAGCAACGGATCATCGTACCTTATTCCTGGAGTTGAACCCCCCAAATTTCGATTAAAAAGCGGATCAGAAGAAGTTGGATGCATACCCCCTCCCTTTGTAGGATTTACTGCAAGAGGATCCAAATATGGTTTGAAAGGGGGATCTTTCATACCGCCTGGATAAAGATCGTTGACACCTGCTTGTGCATCTGCTGATGGAAGTGTCTGGGACCGGCTGGACTGGATTTTGTGTTCGTCCTCGAATGGAGGGGGTGCGAGAGCGGCAGGGAGTGGTCTTGGAGCGGGCGATGTATACGAAGGGGTAGGAGTGTGATCTTGTGTTGCCTGGTTGGATGCATCCGCAGAGATGCCTGTCACCGGCTCCTGCGGCTGCGTAATATGTCTTTGTTTATCAGTATCGGACTGCGTGGGGGGTTTTGACTCCTTTGGAAAAAATAGCCCAAATTTATCTGTCACCATGGCGAGTAGGCGATCTACCAGACAGGAATCGATATCGTCGATTTCAGTCGGATACTTAACAACAGCATCTTGGGGCCATTTCAGAGAGGCGGTGTACGTTATTTGAGTTCCGTCTGTGTCCTTTCTGAGATTCTCAATAGTGTAGATATCGTTGCTCTGAGTTACGATCGATTTGCCCTCGGGCGCAATAACCGATATGTGGCTGTCTGAACGATCAATTGAAACAGGCTGGATATTGCGCAACTGTAGGAAGTCCTTGTAAATAAGGCCAAGCAGGTCTAAGTTGTCTTTAAGCGAGCCCATTGTATAAGATGAAGTTTTTATTTAATTAGCTGATAGCGAGAGAAAATGTTAGAAAAAATAATATTGCTTTAGGGCGGAACAGGTTCAAGATTGGAGGAAAAAGAAAGTTCCGACAAGTGACTTAGCTTGCACAATTCTTCAGTAAGCCCATACCATTTATCAGACCGTTTGAAGCAATAATAGGTGCCAAATGACGACTGCCGTTCCCCTAATTTATTCATTCCCTGAATTCAGCGGAGTGGCTGAGGCCGTCGCAGACCACATAGTGGCGGCCCAAAACCATGCTCTTTACGGCGATTACAACAGGAAAAAGAGCTTGTCAGATACGAATATTGCGTCGCAATTCAGCGGTGCGGCAGAAAGCATGCGTTTGACCAAAAGTGTGTCGGAACACCACTCAGCCAGCGGAAACGGAACTAATACTTCAAGTTCGTCTAGAGAGCAACGGAAAAAGAAGAAGGAGGAGAACAGAAGGTTCCGCATAGGTCTTAGTGGAGGATCATTAATTAATGTGTTGCGCGAAGGACTGCTCAAGCGACAGGACGTTGAATGGTCCAAATGGGACGTTTATTTTGCCGACGAAAGACTGGTTCCTTTTGACTCGCCTGAGTCCAACTACGGAAAAGCCAAATCACAGATATTTGACAACATACCACCAGAGAAAGGATATCCCAACATTTTCCCTATTGAAGAAAATCTTTTGAACGACCCACAGGAATGCGCAGACACTTACGAGAAAACTCTTATCAAAGGCTTTGCTTCTAAAGACTCTGTGAAATTGCCTATGTTTGATCTGATTTTGCTTGGATGTGCTCCCGATGGGCATGTTGCATCTTTATTTCCTAATCACGAGACTCTTAGAGAGTCGTATGCTTGGTGTGCGCCAGTTCTAAATGCTCCTTCAGGGCCTCCAACGAGAATCACCTTGACCGTCCCCGTGATTTGCCATTCGCACAGGGTGATGTTCGTGGTGGAAGGTGCCACCAAAGCGCCAGTCATAAGCACGATCATGGAGAGACCTGACAAGGGGCTTCCCGCTAGTATTATCAACGAAAAGGCTGCTGGACGGATTGCATGGTTCGTTGACGATGATGCTGTGAAAGACGTCGTGGGTATCACTAAGAAGAGATACAAGTTTTTGGTCCATTCTGAATAGATGGGTAGAGTGCAGTTTCCATGGTTCAGATTGTAGTGGCTAAGTTATCCAGTGTTATAATTTTTATATGTGGCTGAGCTGAGAACACAAGAAACACAAAAAACATATCGTAGTTTGAAGATGGTAAGTGTTCTCAATCGGTTTTTTGCTAATTGGTATAGTGGTTCCCAATAGCGTTTTTCTTGGTATCTACCTTTTTGTTATCGGGACTCGCCATCAATCATTTCATCCAGCTCTCGAAACAGCCTCTGTACCTATCGGTAATTTTGGTATTCTCGCTCTTCTTACCTTTCTCCATCATATTCCTTCTTCCTGTCGACCTGATATCCACTTCCGCTGACACATACAAACAGTTCAAGGAATCTATATTTTACTTGAACCAGCCCACTGTGCTATTCCTTTGGAAATTCAACTATTGGACCACCTTTTCGTTAACATGGATCATCCTGCCCTTTTTTCAATACTGGTTTGGATCTGGATATTACAACCGGGGCGATCGCTTCAAGTACGCGCTAATTGAGCTTCTGAAGTTCCAAATGATTATGATTGCCTGCGGGCTTATCATTTTTTTCTACATCCTAGTTAGACACACATCTTGGCTCAATTTCAAATTTCTCAAGTCCCTGGTTATTACAGTCAGCCATATATATTCGCTTGTTTTAGCCTTGTGGCTTATGGCACACGGTCTCATATATCTGCCACGGCATGAATGGGAAACATCCGGAAACTACTCCAACCAGCTGCATAAACTGTACCTTAAGGTTCCAGAGATAAACGAGCAGCTGGAGGACACAAAATTCGAGCTCCGTGAACTCTGCGGGAAAATCAAGACATTAAGCCATCTCGATAATCTTGAATACAGAGACTGGATCCTTAAGCTTGTGGGATCTATACCCCCCGAATTCAACGAAATGGTTTATCATGGTGTCGAACCGTTCACCAACGCAGAGCTGAACACGAAACTGCTCAACAAGCTCTCTAAGCAGTTGAAAGAGCTGAAATGGAAATACAATCATAAGCTTATCGAACTCAAAATCACCGTTGAGAAAGTGATAGCTCTGGAAGATAAAGTTAACGCACAACTGCTTGGAGAATACCACCCAAGACTGGGAAAACCTTGGGTATCGAGCCCAAAAGTCAATTATTACCTCCATCAATACGTAAGGCCCTTCCTGGGGAAATTCCTTTCGCTATGTTTGATCGTGCTATCTACTGTTATTGTGGAATCAGAAACGTTTCACGGCTTCCAGTTCTCTTTGATCAAACGCCTGATAGCTGCAGCCACAAAAAATGCCACCAAAATCTACGTCCAGATCTTTACGATTTGTTTTCTGGTTCTGACGTACATGCTCGTCTGCGCCATGCTGTCGCTGTCACAAGTTAAAGTCTTCAATATATACCATATCGAGTCCAATCAGTCGTCAGACCCGGTGTCCATGATCTTCTTCATCAGCTATGCGTGCCGTCTGACCATCCCCCTGAGTTACAACTTCCTAATGCTGCTGGACGCGAAATTCACCACCAATTCCTCGTTCCAGCTCTTTTTTGGCAACTCCATCCAGCTCATCTCCTTGGGTAACTTCCTCAATGACCTGCTTCCCCGGCTCATTATCATCCCTATCCTGCTCACAATGTTTAGGTTCTGGGAAAAGGCAAAAGCTTGGCTCTCGCGTGTTTTCCTCTTTGATTACTTGATCAGAGAACTGGATTTCGAAAACGACGATCTTGACACAGCGGAGTACAGTGGCGATCTTGAAGGGCGGCCAGGATCACAGTCGACACGGGAGAATGCGCGGGTCCATGAAAGCAAACAGATAATACAGCGTCTTTTAAATTCAGATCAACGTTTTTCGAGCACACCAATCAGGCCTTTGACTCTCTCGAATAGCACAGCGTCTCAAGAGCAACCGCTTACGTCTTTTCGCGAATTTGTTAGCCGTCTATTCTCACGGTTACGTTTTCGCGGCCCAGCTTCTCAGTACGAAGGATTAAGAACATACAACCTAAGTTTAGGTACGGACAACGGTAGCAGACGAACTAGCTCCGACACAGGCATTTCGCTCAACACTAACATCTCGTTCGACAACGACAACCGACTGCTTCGGGATGACGATATCATGCTTATTGACGAGGACGACGTCTCCGAGATATAAACATGTAGCAACGCTAATAGATCGAAACGGATACACCTCGCGCCATACTGTAAATAAAAAATACACGGGAAAACCTACAAGCTTCGGGATAAATTTGTGTTTTCGATGGGCCGGGTATGCTATTGAGAATGAGACGAGGATTATGGAAGCCAGGCATGGACAGAGTGCCGAGTGGGAGTTTTGTAAGACGTTTATCTCAGCATTTATCGATTATCGCTCCCAATTCCTCTCAGAACTCGCTTATCACGTTCAATGTTAACTTGCTTAAAGTGCCTGCAAATTACGGTTATTATACCTCGAGAGTCAATCGTATGACAAACGAAGATTCACATCAAGTAGGAGTCATGGATATAGACTTCCAACAGAGGACGGTATCTCCGGATGGGATAGAGGCAAACGAGGAGCTGGAGAAAAGAATAGGACAGATCGATGAGCCAGAGTATAAAAACCGTTTTGAGCACAAGAAGGTTTTTAGCTTTAACATTTTTGACGGCCATGGCGGCACTGAAGGCAGCACTTATGTGCGAAATCATTTGTTGGAGAATATTGAGAGAATGAACATTAGCGACGAAAGCATCAACAAGCTATTCAAATTCTACCAGAAGGAGATTGGAGGATATTGGAGACGTTGGGTACGTCGCAAAAACCTGCATTTCATCAACAGCATGGGGCTAGAAAGCTATCTAGTATCGCCAGAAGGTAAATACACTATCCGCGATCCAGAGCTAGAGGAGAAAAAACTTTGGGATCTGCCAGAGTTCAAGGAGATGGTTTCTGGAGAAGATTTCTTCAAGATCCGGCTTCTGCTAGGGTTTTTGTACACCGACTACCAATTTCTGAACTACGAGGATAAGATTAATGACGCTAAACATAAGGAACGTTCTCACCTTTTGAACGCCGGCTCCACAGCCACATCTGCATTTTTTTACACCATAGAGAAGGACAAGTCGAATCTAAACGGGTATTTTTACGAGCCAGACGTGCTGAGTCGATTGGTAATTGCGCATGTGGGCGATACACGTGCTATTCTCTGTGACAGGGACGGCGTGGCAAGGAGTCTGACCCAGGACCACCATCCTTCAAATCCTATCGAGTCGCGCAGACTGACCAGATACAGCGCAGGGCTAATGATGACCGACTCTTTCGGGGAAGAACGTTTTGCAAATTACGCCAACACGCGGTCGTTCGGCGACCTCACAGCCAAAAACATTGGCATCACAGCTGAACCAGAGATCAGTGAATACCTGATTGGCGATATGAGAAAAGTCCAAAAGTACAAGCGTGACAATAAATACTATTTAAAGAAGACCAACATCCTGGATTTTGGCGGGGACGAGTGTTTCCTCGTGCTTGTTAGCGACGGTGTGACCAGCATGCTTTCCGATCAGGAGGTGGTCGACGTGATCATGAGCACGACAAATAACAAGGGATCGTTGCGGGGCACGCCAAAGGAAGCCGCTCAGGAGGTAGTACAGTTTGTTGAGTGTATTGGGGGTATGGACAATGCGACATGCCTGGTAATCAAGCTCGGCGGCTGGGGGAAATGGCCAATACTTGATCGAACAGGTCCTCTGAGGGAGTCCAAAATGATGAGTGGACGCAGGGAAAGATGAGCATCTCGAAATTTGGAACGCACTTTGTCATTTCGATTCTATGTACAGTAAGTTATTTATTCTTCGTCTGGGTGTATTTGAACCGTTTTCGAGTGTGGGAGAACTCACCGAGCTTAGATCCCACCATGTCTTCAGTAATGTTTATATGAACATAGTCTTTTCCGTTGTGGACTTGAAATTTGAGTCCCACAAATTGAGGCAGTATAGTGCACGATCTAGCATTCGTTCTAATGGGCGTACCGTTCTTCTTCGCCTCAGCAATCGGTAAAGGCACAACAAAGGGACCCTTCCATGCAGACCTACCCAATGCGACAAAAGACAATCTCATGAGGAATAGTTTCGGTTGATAAATTTTTCGAAGCGGTTTTGGACGATCGACGTGATCTGTCGCTTTGGTTTTTTGATCGCCTGTATCTTTTATTTAATTATACATGTTCCACCTGGCTCAAAGTCTTTATAGCTCGTACACGCGCAAAGACGAGTACTCGGTGTTGATTTTGGGACTGGATAATGCGGGCAAGACAACCTTCTTGGAACAGCTCAAATCCATCTATGTCCCAAACTACAAAGAGCTACGGCCGGAGCGGATTCTTCCCACCGTGGGTCAGAATGTCGGCACAATCCAAGTTCATGGCACTCTGCTGAAATTCTGGGATGTTGGGGGTCAAGACAGCCTCCGAGAATTGTGGTCAGAATATTATTCGAATTCGCATGCTATTGTATTTGTCATTGATTCGTGCGACAAGGAAAGACTGGTGGAATGTTCAAACGTTCTAACCGGCGTGATGAGCAACGAACTAATAGAAGGGCTGCCCATATTGATGCTGGCCAACAAGCAGGATAGAGAAGACGAGACTAAACTGGAGTTAGTGGATATCAAAGAAATATTCAACCCGATCGCAGAAAATTTAAACGCAAGAGACTCAAGAGTGCTTCCAGTCAGCGCAATAACAGGTGAGGGGGTTAAGGACGCTATAGAATGGCTGTACACAAGGCTGATTCGCAACAAGATGAACCGTCCCCCAAAGAAACATTGAAGGTGTCGGGGTGTGAGCAAATTTTATTCATCGCGAGCAAATATTTTTGGCAGAAACCCAAAAATATCATGATGTCCATAGAGATATAAAAAGGCTCGCTTTCAGAGCCCGATTTACAGAATATTAGTTCTTCATCATGAATATGGATATGGACTCCTCCACTTCGTCCCACATGGACATGTCTATGACTTCTGCCACTAGCTCCATGGCAATGGCTACCGCATCTCCATCCAGTTCTATGGATATGGACATGTCCATGGACATGGGCATGAACTACTATCTGACCACCCATTACAATCACTACCCGGTAATTTTCCACACCTTGCGTGCCAGCTCTGGAGCTGGGGCCTTTGGCATTTTCTGTGTGCTCTTCTTTGGTGCCGTTTTCTTCAGAGGTTTATTCTTCCTGAGCGCTTATCTGGAACAACGGGTGTTCCACAACCTTACGAACGCGGTCTTGATTCAAGAAATAGACAATTGTGCATGTGATCCAGAAGAGGACAAGAAACCCGATTCTAGTGGCGGAACCCTGCGCGCCAACTCCCTCGGCCTTGGTAAGATCATCAGACAGACGTTCTGTCCGGGATTAGGGGAATTGAAAAGAGATTTTATTAGACTACTTATCGCCTTCACTGCGACGATGTTTGGATACGCATTAATGCTTGCAGCCATGAGCTTTGTCCTGCTCTACTTCTTCGCAATCTGTCTCGGAATGGCTTTTGGAGAGATCTTCTTCAACCGCTTGTCTATTGTACTTGGAATCAACAAAAACAGCTCCTTGTGCGGATCGCTCCACTAGGCCAAACGCTTGTATGTATACTCCGTTAATTGATATTTCAGATTATACTTAGTCGTCTTCCAAAGGTAACGAGTCAAGCTCGTCGACCAATGACGACAGCTCGGAAACGACGTTCTTGTGGTAGTTGAGTTGAATTTTCATCAGCAACTTCAACAGATTTAAACCTTCAACTGGCTTGATCAGCGTTTTCATCGATTCCACAGCAGATTCTGTGGCACTGACCAGCTCGTCCTCGGCATTTTCCAGTTTCTTGGACAGCGCAGGCGGAATTTCGACAGACTCGTCCCCACGCTGCACAGCCTTCACCTCGGCTCTGACGGTGTCAAAATTGAGCCTTGATGTCTCCACTTGTTTTCTCAGCTTGGCAGTGTTCAAAAAATCGCCATTCAGTGTGTTGCGGATTCTGTCATTGACCTCCGTGATCACCAACTTATCTTGCTCCAGTCTTTCCTCTCCGATTCTGGTTTGGAACTCGCTAATCTTGAGCAACGCCTTGCAGAGGGACGACGATTCCTCTTCGCTGGTAGACAAAACTTCGTTTGCACTTAGACAAGCTTTGGCCAATTGGTGTGCAAAGGTCTTCGGGGTGTGATCCTTTGATGATGCCAGCAGCACAGCTTCCGCTTCCGATGTGGTCGTAGCCTGCGAAAGACCGGTAAACTTCTCATTGATTAACTTTGTGTAATCATGGATGGACTCTTTCAGGTTCGGAGGATAGTCATAACTCTCAATTTCGTACTGCTGGGTGATGGTCAACACCTTTTTGTAGAAAACTTTCAAGTTATCAACTCGTTTTTCCAGATCCTTGTATTCCTGCGGCAGCTCCGAGATATCGTCAATGGACCCAAAACGCTCCTGCAGAGACCTCGTGGTCCGCTTGAGAAGGGGCGATATATTGGAGTTGAGCGTGGAAACCTCCTTTTCCAAGTTGACTAGATTGTCCTGCAAACTTGAGGTGAGATGTTGAGTCGTTTGTTGCAAAGACTGCTGGATTGACGAAAGATCCACTTTGGGGAATTTGAACGACATCGAATTGAAATTAGGTTTTATCTTGTTTGGCTGTCTTTTATTTTATTTTGGCAATGCACATCCGTACACCAACAGCTAGCTAATGTCCTGGTGGCAGGGTGGGTTGCAGGACCAAGGCCTTAGCAAATATTACAAAGCGAGATGAGATACCCGAATCTGTTGTGGAAAATACCAAAATCTATAATTTATACATTACACATCATAGCTGCCATAAATGCTTCATTTAATCATGTTGCTCATACAACTCATGTTCTAGGGAACCACTTCTCAGATAACGATGTCGAGTGACTGGTCCGAGGGGAAAGGAAGCTGTGGACAGAGGTTATTCGTGGAGCAACACCTCCACCAATGCCTGCGGTGTAGCCTTTTGCATGCGCTGGAGCTGGAGTAGGCCTCACACCGGCAGTGTAGGAACTGTTGCGTTCGTCTTGATGTCTTGTTTCGATGCCTGCTGTGTATTTGGAGGATCCAGGGCTGCGGGAACGGTCCCGAATGCCTGCTGTGTAGTTTTGCTTGGTAGATTTGTAGCCGTAATTATTAGACACCATGATTGATCTTGTCATTCCGCAGGTGCGAAAGCATCCTTTTATATTGCTATCGAAACGCCTTCGGATCCACCTCGGACATATTGTTTCCTTGTGGCTCGCCTTTATGATGTATAATCAATCACGATCGTGCATGAAAAAAACGGTTTTGTGTGACGTAAGTGTCTAGAAATTGTTCGAATATTAAAAATCCAGCAATGTTTACAAATCTTATTAACTCATACAATCGTAATATTCAGTCACATATCCTATACGTGAGGAAAAAACAAAACACAAAGAAAGTGGTACTCTTGGCTTTGCGGATCAGTTGAAGATCTTTTTAATTTTAGTGCTCAACTTCTCCTTTTGTGGGTGTGCCTGTTCGAACTCGTCATAATTTAAAATCTTCGTGTTAGACTCACCTTGGCGCGGCTGTCCTGAATAAGCCTCGTCGCCTTTCTGGTGCGCCTTACTGGATTGGCGGAGATCCGACGTACCTGCAGCGCCAGATTCTCCACGTTTATCCTGAGTAGCTGCTGCCGCGGCGCGGCTAGCCAAGGCGTTCTGATCTTCATTCAGGTACTCGTTTCCATGAGCAGCTTGACCGCGATTCTGGGTTGGAAGGTTGTCTCTGGTGCCAGGAATATGAACATTCTGGCCGGTGGACGTTTGCTGGGTAGCTCCATAAGAAGCTCCCTGTTTTCCGTAGCTCTGGCTTTGGCTTTCTAAGTGGTCCTTCGGGCTGCCTTGGCTCTTGGCGGCAATTCCTGCCCCAGTTGCACCACCGGCTGCACCATAATCAGATCCAGAGGCGTACTTGCTCTGTCCTGTGGTGTCAGAGAATCCTGCGGTGTATGGAGTTTCCTTGTCATCTCTCACACCCGCAGTGTACTGGTCCTTGGCATGGTGCGGATGGGTGTCACCAACACCGGCAGTGTAGCCAGAACTCAAGTGAGGCTCGTCTCCACCAACGCCAGCAGTGTACTTGTTGGTTTCCGGCTCGTCGCGACCCGCAGTGTCCCCAACACCAGCAGTGTACTTGTTGGTCCTCTGAGTGTGGTGCCGAGAGTTGTCTCCACCCTGGAACGTTTCTCTAAAGCCACCTTTGGCAAGCTCTGGGTCTTTCTGAGCAGAGGCATTGGCTTGTGTGGCAGAATCTTTGCCAGCTTCTCTGCTACCAAGATAACCCGCACCAGCGCCAATGGCGGTTCCTGCACCGGTAGCATAGGCAGAGTATTCACCGTGACCGGACTTGTCGAGATGTTGGCCACCTTTCTGCGATAAGTCCTTGGCCTGGGAGCCGACTTTGTCGTAATCAACCTGCTTTCGAGGGTTCTTAGGGTCCAAAGAGCCAGGCGCCTTATCGTCGGTCTGGCTCTGGCTGCTATACGAGCTATCGTATGGATCATTTTGCGTCTTGGTAACACCGGGTGCGGCTCTCAATTCCTGAGTCGAAGCGTCGTTCTGCTTGGTCTGCTGCTTTCCGTGGCTGCTGTCGTGGGAAGCGGCCTTGTAACCAACAGCAGAAGCCACAGCAGCGCCAATTCCGGCACCTATTCCTTTACCACCTCCAGCATGCGATCCACCGTGGGCAGTCTCGTAGCCCAGCTCGGCTTGTTTCTGGGCAAACTCAGGCCGACCCTTCTTCTCGCTTTCGTAAAGCCTGGAGGAGTCAGACTTTAGCTGATCGGCGTTTCTCGTGGCAAAGCTGTCATGGTGCACGTCCTGGTAGACAGTACCGTGTTGGACAGTATTGTCATCATTTTTCTTGTTGGACTTGCCCCATTTGCTAGACTTACCAGACTTAGAGCCAGCTCCGGAGCCAGAACCATGTTCAGACGAGTCAGAGGTGCTGCTTGTCGACTTTTCGTGGTGACCAGCAGTTGCTCCCAAACCTGCACCCGCAAAAACTCCAGCAGCGGTTTCGGTAGTACTATGGTGGTCAGAATTCGACTTGGAAGCGGCTGTCGTGTTCTGGCTCAGGTCACTGTACTTGTCATGAGCTTTATGGGACGTTCCTTGAGTACTTTTGCCGGCTTGCTCCCCAATTGGGTGTCTGTAGTCTCCCAGATCAGCAGGAGCAGTGGCTCCATGGACAGGGTCTGTAGCAGCGGCTTCGGTGGTATTGTAGCTGGTTGGTTTACCTGACACAGAGCCAGCCCCAGTGGTAGCCCCAGTGTTGGAATATCCCTTATCACGGGCATTCTCCTGCTTTGATGCATGGGCATTCGAGCCATAGCCTTCTTGAGTCTCTAGAACCTGGCTCTGCTTAGGATGATATGTCTGGCCTGGTGCACCGGCTAGTGATCCAACCCCCGCTCCAGGAACTTGAGGACCTAAATTCTTGTCTGTAGTGTCGTGTTTGGAAGCAAGGTCAGACTTCTGATTCCGGCCGTCAAATTGGTGATCGGTGGTTTGACCTGCATAGCCTTGTTCTGAGCTCAAAGTCTTGCCGTGAGATCCAGAGTTGTCAAGTTCACTGTGTGTATGAGTATTCGAAGAGCCATAGTGGCCGGCAGCTGCACCAGCCCCAGCTTCCGCAGTAGCTCTACTCGACTGAGAGTCGTTGGCGTTCTTTGTGTCGGTGGGCTCGACAGGAAGTCTGCGGGCTCTTTCTTTGTCAGACAATCCCTTAATATTGTCCTGGGTTCCACGAATATCTCTCTCGTCGACGACAGGGTCGACTAGCGAAGAATATTTCACATTTCTGTCGGTAGGAATAACTTCAAACTCGTTTCCCTGGCTATCAACATAGCTGTGTGCTTTTCCGACCTGTTTCTCAAGAGTCTTAGTCGACACGGAGTTTTTGGTGGCATCCTCGCCAGCCAACGGCTTGTCCTTAGGAGAGGTTGCACCTTCGGAGCTACCACCAATTCCAATGGCAGACATCAGCTTGTTGGCCAGTGATGGCTGTTCGGCAGGCTCTCCGTGAGCTTCGCCTTCTGATGCCTTGAAGGTCGGTGAGGTGGAGTCGTAAGTCTGCGATTGCGAGGTATAATTCGAGTCTCCAGCGGAGTAATCTTTTCTCTCCTCAAAGTCAAAGGATCCAGGAACACTGGAATGTTGCACAGATCTTGGCGTATCCTTGGAACCAGAGAGCCTATCGTAGGCATTGTGCGCATTGTGCTGTGCCTGATTCGTCCAAGACTCAGCTTTTGGTGTACTAGATTTCAAGTCAGCCATGATAAAGATAAGAAAGTGTATAACCGAACGACACAACACTATATATAGAGCTGTCTCCACATTATTGCTCTGAGCAAGGTTGCCATATGGCTTTTCTTTTTGAGAGGCAGCAATTTCATTATGACATCAATGTCTCACATGTCACATGTCCAAAGGTAAAACAGCGTGAGTTGCTACCACTATTGCTTTTGACACAGCCACGAATAATTTTATTAAGCGCACTAATTTTAAGCTACCACAGTGAAATTTCAGGGAGTTGGAACGTCAATTCTCGTTCCAAGGCTCGGTATATATCGGTACTGCGGCGTATTCGGTGTCGTCGTCCAGAAGTACATTATTTTGCTCCCCAGTGTTGCCGTCAGAAGGTCCTGGGGTAGGCATTGGAGGCAACTCTGACGGAGGGCGGGCATAGTCCAGATCATTGAGCTCCGTTGGGGGCTCACTGGGCATCAATGCCTGCTCGCGCAGCCGAAGCACCTCTTTTTCGTTGACCGGGGAACTTTCCGGGATTGCGGAGTATTGTAGCGATGACGAAGGTGGACTGGAATCCTGCGGAGAAAGCGGCGAATCTATGGACGTGCATGGTGTCTGTGGGACAGAAGAAGAATGACGGCTTTTTCTACGCACCCTCGACTTTCGTTCTGTACCAATGACAATTTCGGAGTTGAGTGTAAGAACATTTTTCGTTCGCTTCAGCCTGTCCACGTTGTAGATATTGTTGGATGTGTCTTTCTGGATAATCTCATCGTCCATGAACCCTACCTGGGTGGCTCGTATCTTGGAATTTGAAAGGTTTACAAGGACCTCGATGTAATACTGGAAACTCACCATATTCGCGGTGATGGTCGGGAAACAATCGACTGGGACCCTCAGGCTTGTCGAGATGTCACTTGTCAGCGTGACAGGGTCGACAATTAGCGGGACGATGGACTGGCTGAGATCTTTTCTGTACGATTGAATCTCATAATCTTGACCCAGATCCAGCCGACAAATTCTTATCAGAGTGACTATTATTCCCTCTGTGTTGGCTATCTTCTTGTGACACTTCACGTGCAAACGAACGGGTATTGATTCGCCGCGCAAATACCCCATTGACGAAATGTTCATCTTAATTTGGACGTCGCTGTCGAGATTGTCTTCCATGGATTCCGACGAAGCAAGCGACGACGTGGACGATATCGACGACAGTGATTTGTTCAGTTTACCTTTTGTGGTCTTGAATCTGAGAATTTTGGGCTGAGGTTCGGGCAAAAGCGCAAGGTTGATGGGCTTGACAATACTGAACATCTTTTCAGACGTTGCCAGTACAACGTCTGGGTTATCTCGCTCAACAATGGTGCATTTCAGACCGTATTTAATTTCACCCTTCTCGAACGAAATGCTGGTGTACGCGTTCCGCTTGGGTAGCTTGATAATAAACGGAAACCGATGTTCTCCAAACGTGAGTGCGGTCTCTTCAGAATCGCCATACAGAAGGATTTTGTGATTGAACAAACTTTGTTTTTTATCGGAACGCAGTGGCGATGTGGAGTTCACCTTGATATGGCCTTCCAAAGAAAGACTTATCATCAAATTCATCACATTCTTCTTCAGTATCAATATAATCTGTCCACTCAACTCCTCCCCCGGTCGGTATAATTTGTGGGGATTGTCGAGAACAATATAGAACTCCTTCACAGCATTTTTTGGTTGAAGCGGCCCGCCCAGAATACGCGAGGATTTATGCGGGAGAAGCTGATTCACGGCCTTTCGCATTAACCAAAAAGATGATAATCAATATTCTCTTGCAACACAGCCCTAAAAATTCGTACTCCTACGCGCAGCCTCAGAAAATATCGGCGCAGTTTACCGATTCCTTTGTTATAAGCGGCTTGGCCGAAAGGATGCGGCGAGGGCCACAGGCGCAAAAAATAAAATGAAACGTTGCAATTCCGATACCGGGAGTCGAACCCGGGTCTGCCCGGTGAAAGCGGACCATGATAGCCGTTACACTATATCGGAGAGTTACAAGGAGTTGGAACCCTCGCTACATACAAGTGTCTTTAAAATGGGATAACTCAAAACTAATTTTCAGGAAAATTAGTTGAATCTCGGCTAATGACTAGACTTCATAAAATAGGGTGCCGTTTCTTTTCGGCCACTACCCGTTTGCTTGCAGAAGTGCCGCAGCCTAAAAAGGAGCTTCCTCGGTTGTCGCCGGAGGAGTACAAGGCGCTGCGCGATCAGTATTACAATAACAGAAATAAGCAGAGAGGCCAAACGGCGACTAATTATTCACTCTCGCTCTTCCTTGGTTTTCTGACTCTTTCTTTTGCCTCTGTGCCCCTGTACCGTGTTGTTTGTCAGAAAACTGGCTGGGGTGGTACCCCAATGACCGACTCCTCCAAGATCACCCCGGATAAATTAGTCCCCGTGGATACTGATCGAAAAATAAGAGTCTCATTCACAGCAGAGACGTCACGTCTATTGCCGTGGAAGTTTGTTCCTCAGCAGAGGGAAGTGTATTTGGTTCCCGGAGAGACAGCGTTAGCATTCTACAAGGCGAAAAACACATCAGACAAGGATATCACTGGTATGGCGACTTACAGTGTGACGCCAGACCATATTGCACCATACTTCAACAAGATCCAATGTTTCTGTTTCGAGGAGCAGAGGTTGAATGCTGGGGAGGAGGTGGACATGCCGCTGTTTTTCTTCATTGACCCTGAGTACTCACAGGATCCATCCATGAGAAACGTGGAGGATGTTGTTCTGCACTATACATTTTTTAAAGCTACCCACGATGCATCCCATGAGCAAATTCTAGCCGAAGCTCAAGGAAAAAAGGGTCACGACCAAAACGAATCCAATAAAGACTGATCTGTATATACTCTAGTCCCATGAACAATTAATTATTCAGGGCCTGAAATCATAATTTTGATGGACTTTCCTTCCTTGCTGAAGTCGTAAGCTTTTTTGACGTCCTCGAACTTGAATCTATGGGTGATCAAAGGCTTCACGTTCACTTTCGAGGAGGCGATTAAGCTGACAGCAATCTTGTAGTCATCAACAGTGTACCTGAAGACCCCAGTAATCAGTAGTTCTCTCTCTGCAACCTCAGCAATAGGGAATCCGTCCATGGTCTGTCTTCCCATACCAACCTGGACGTATCTTCCTTTTTTCTCGAGCAACCTTATGGCATTTGCAATGCAGTACTGGTTTCCGGTAGCATCCATGGCCACTGATGGGCGTTCGCCGTCCCAGGAATTTTGGATGAACTCCAAAATCTCCTCAAAAGTTTTATCTTTGGAATTGATGGCATGGGTTGCAAAACCTTTAGAAACGGCAAAGTCAAGTTTCTCACTGACGATGTCAACAATGCACACCTTGTTAGCACCAAATGCCCGTCCAACAGCAGCACAGAGCAATCCAATTGGTCCAGCACCAAAGACAACCAGGTTATCACCAATCGTCAATTTGGCCAGCCTAGTAGCGTGAGTGGCAACAGAAAGGGGCTCAACCAGCGCACCTTCCTCCAATGAGACGTTTTCAGGCAGTTTGACACAAAAATCCTCAGGAAGAAGATAGTATCTACAAAGAGTTCCATCGTAAGGAGGAGTTGCAGCAAAAGCCATCTCCGGACACAAGTTGTAGTTGCCACTCTTGTATTCATAAGAGTATCTGGAGGGAATGCCCGGCTCGCAGGCAACCCTGTCACCGACCTTCAGAGTTTTCACTTCAGAACCAACCTCTACAATAACACCGGATGACTCATGTCCCAACACCATTGGTTTCTCCACGATGAAAGAGCCAACGCGGCCGTGTTGGTAATAGTGAACGTCGGAACCACAAAGCCCAGTATACTTTATGGCGATCTTAACATAATGAGGATCTTTGATTTGAGGAATTGGTCTATCCTCGATAACAATTTCGCCAATTTTCGTAAGAACAGCAGAAGGATTGTTCATGGCCGATGTTTTGGAAAAAATCTGATGAGATAAATTTCGAGGAAAAACAGATTTTATGGGGTAAATAGGGAAATAAAACGGAATGCTTAAGCAAAACAATGTAGTCCCCACAAAAATATGTATAGTTTTTTAACCACGGTTAACAGCTACTGGCTATAGGTAAATGAGTATCGATTACAAGTCTATTAATCACAGTAGCTTCGGGTGATCTTGCCATGGCACTCCATAAAATTCTTTCGGAACACCGAGTTTCAAGCTCAATCTTTATAATAGATACCTCTGAAGAAGTCCATGGTTTGAGTGAAAACGACCAGCAGAATTCCTCCTCCAGGACCCAATCTAAGAACTTTTGGCAAGAATCCCTTATACAGAGCCCTGAAACCTTCCTCCTTCATGACCAACGCCAGAGACGGAAGAGTCCAGTTATACTTTCTCACAACACCTTCAACAACTGGGGTGTTCTGGATTCTTGACTTGACAACATCAAATGGGGTATTCAACAACGTACCCACAGTTCCACCAATGGCTCCAGAAATGAGGTCGTTTGTTGTCTTCTGGGTAGGATTCTTGGCCTCTGGTAGAAGAGATCTGACTTGGAAAATGACACCGAAATAACCAGCATTCCAAACAATGTGTCTCCACATAGTAGCTTCCAATCCGTTGTAGAGGGCCAGAACACCTTCTTTCTTGATTATCTGTCTCACAACATCGCCCATACCATTGTACTTCGAGGTCTTGTCCTGCAACCTGATTTTCACCAGCTCAAATGGGACCACAACAAACGACTCAGTCGCACCAGCAGTGGCTCCGGTCAAGATAGACAAAGGTTGGGTCATCTGACTCACACCAAAAGCACGCTTATAAACTTTACCCCATTCGTCATTGGCGGCAAACTTGGTGGCCCTCTTTGGGGCCTCCATCAGAATTGGGGCAGTAATACCACGGTAGAGTCTCGAAGGTCCTTCATTCTTGACGATTTTTGTCAGACAGTCGATAATACCCGTATATTCTCCTTTACCTCCAGTACCCACTTGAAGCTGGATTCTCGTCTTGACCACATCCAGTGGGTACATGACCAGAATCTCAGAGACACCGGCAATGGCACCGGCAAGAAATTGATAGGCAAATGGCAAGGGCCGTTGATCAGACATATTTTATATTTTGAGGAGTCAAGCAGAAATTTGTTCAAGAATATATATACCTGAATAATTAAATCGGTTAACCGCAACGACAATGAAAATGGGCGAATCGTGGCTCCAGAATTTTGCGTGCCATTTATGCAATCGATAGCTATCAGTAGATGAGGGGTAGGTTGTCATCGCTGTTGTAAATCTCGCGTAGTGGTGCGTAGCACTGTCGGCTAATCTTATCCATTGGCAAACCGGGTAACGGTTTTCTCGATTTTTCCTCCTATTTGCGCCTTCACAATTTTGATGACCAAATAAATTAATGTAGATAGGCAAATTATTTTTTTAGACTTCTAAATGTTTGCCCGCAATTTATTGAGACAAGGTGTCAAGTCCAGAGTGGCTCTTGCCAACATTTCAAGCAGGAGACTTTATCATCCAAAGGTGATCGACCATTACCAGAACCCAAGAAATGTCGGAACGATGGATAAAAATCTTAAAAATGTCGGAACCGGGCTCGTCGGTGCTCCTGCTTGCGGAGATGTGATGAGGTTGCAGATCAAAGTTAATGATGAGACCGGAGTGATTGAAGACGTTAAGTTCAAGACGTTTGGCTGCGGTTCTGCCATTGCATCCTCGTCCTTTGCCACAGAACTGGTGAAGGGCATGACTCTTGAAGAGGCTGCCAACATCAAGAACACAATGATTGCAAAAGAGCTTTCTCTTCCTCCAGTGAAGTTGCATTGCTCCATGTTGGCTGAAGATGCAATCAAGAGCGCAATCAAGGATTATAAGACCAAGAGAGGCAACCGCAAGCCAACTATGTAGTATTCGTCGATTCATTATATATATCAACTTAAGACTCTAATTTTTGCTCCGCCAAGCTCAGAATGCCAATTCCGTCAACATAGTCGTCCCAGTGAGTGGCATTTCCAAGCTTCTCAACGTCATCCCAATGGAAATTATCGGAGAGCCATTTGTTGTAATCTTCCTTCACGGATCCGGACTCGGTGGCAAAAGACCATAGTGCTTTGAAGCAGCCACCCAAAGCGCATGCATCGCTCAAGTCAATCTTATAGTTTCCGTCTTCGGGTCCCAAAATGTCGCAATACTTGGAGACAATTGATTTATTTTTTGAGGAACCGCCAACGTAAAATACTTTACTGGGGCGACAAAGCAGAGCGTCAGTCGAGTGTTTAGTACCGTCTGACTGGATTTGGCCATATTTTGCTAGCTTGGGCAAAACTCCATGTTTGTCCTCCAACTTGTGAGATGAGGTTGAAGCAAGCAATGGTCCCATTCTGAGTCTGCAGGACAAAGCCTGAGACTCGATGATACTGTTGACGTCCTCTTCCAACGACCAGGACTCCACTTCCAGTAACTCTTTCCTTTCTGGATCAAATCTGAACCGGCGCTCGCAGGGTTTGGCATTTGGAATAATCTCGCCTAAAGGAAAATATATTCCTAGCTCATACTTCCCGTTCAGCGGAACAGAATTGTCTAAGATGGAGTTAAACTTCTCCCAAGAGTTCTTGGGCTGATTATATTTTTCGTTGATTTTATCCCTCACATTCTCTCTAGCTAAGGCACCATTACAGTAGCACAGCATGCCCATGTAATGACCTTCCAGAGTAGGATGTTTGAACATGTGGTAATTCTCAGAAGGTTTGTAGGCATTGGTGACTAGAAGAGCCGTGGTAGAGGTTCCCATAGAGATCAGAGTGTCGTTTGGTCCGAGAGGTAGAGCAAGGATAGTTGCAAGGTTGTCTCCGGTAAACGAGTAAACCTTACAAGAGGCAGAAAAGCCAAATTTCTCAACAAAGTAGTTACTGACGTGGCCAATGTTTCTGTAGCCAACGGGTTCGAGAGGACCCAATTTCTGCTTCAACTCCTCAACACCTTTTTTGGTTTCCGACTCAGAGCTGTTGTCTATCTTCGGATGAACTCCGGCAGCCACCGCCAGCAACTCTTCATTGTATTCTCCTTTCGAGATATCATACAAATTCATGCCGCATCCATCGCTTTCTTCAATGTAGGTTAGCTTGCCGCATAGCAAAGAGCTCAAGAAGCTTGAAATAAGTGATATCCGGTACGTCTCATGGTAAGTTTTTGGGTCGACCCTGCTTGCAAGTTTTCTGATTTGAGTACCGGTAAAACGGTAATGAGCCCTGGAGCCCGTGATCTGGGCTAATCTGTGACAACCCCCGACTGCATCTTCGAAAATTTTCAATTCTGGACCGGTAGAATGATCTTGCCAATTTGGAGACGTTTGGAATGTGAATGCTTCAGGACAGAGCTGCTCCTTTAAGGATTTTTCAGCCGACAGCGATCCGAGCAGTTCTGGTGCACGTTTCGACCAATAAACGGAACCGTGTTGTTGACATGAGCCGCTCATAGCTTGCACATCCTTGAACGGAAAGTTGTCTTTTTTCATCTTCTCAAAGCACAGCTCTAAGGCCTCGACCCACATCTCAACTGGGGCAAAAATCTCGCCGGCACTTTCATTGGTGAGAACGCCTTTTCGGATGCCGTATTTCGAAAGTTCCTCGTCAAAATCGACCCTGTATGTTTTGTGATGTTTCAAGTCTGAATAGATTGAAATCACTTTCAATTGTTGAGTTGATAGATCAAAACCAAGAAACAACGACATATCTAATAGGAAACGTCAACTTTTTCAGGCGCAAGCCAAGTGATTGGGTGTTTTCTGTAAAAGGAATAAGGAGGAAGAACAATAATCAAAGTGGACACGATAGTTAATAGAAACACGTATATTGTAAGAGAAAGATTTTGCGCTGAAAAGCCAATTATCAAGCTCAAGACAGTTCCTGTTGTGAGCAATGTCAAGTATATTTTCTCAGCTAGCTTCTGGCCCTCGAAATCTATGGTTGCCTCAATGTAAGGCTGTAAAGAATCCATTTGTAGAAAAATCTGGAGGGGAACCAGATTGCAAAGAAACACAAACCGATTTTTCCCGTTATCGACGCGACTATCGACCTTACTAACCTAAATAAGGTACATGCCAGAGTAAGTGACTCTGGCCCTAATGTCGGTAGCCCGAAATCATACACGATAAGGTTTATAAAGCCACCGCTATCTGTGCTAACGGAACTCAAGACTGTCGGAGAACCTTTATCTAAGAGCCAATTGCTCTCACAACAAAGGCCACACTTGAAGGGATTCGTACAATCTCAATCACCCATCAGACCTTTAATGAGGGGAGAGAAGAGATCTGCCCAAATTAGTATTTAGAAAGTTGCTCTGCATTTATGATAATTACGAACATCTAAAAACCGAAAAAGAAGATTCATGAAAAACCTTTAAAAATCGATATATAAAAAGAAATCGCGCACGTTAAATCGACCGTCTTAATTTCAGGTATGGCCAATACCGATGTCGAAGACAGGCGATCGAGCTTATCGCTGAACTCTCTGGAAGAAATTAGCGACCCACTCCCCGTTTTCGAAAATAAGGAGCAGGACCAAGGAGAACCAGACGACCGTTTACATCTGACCAAGGAACTGACTAAAACACTGACTTTGCCTCCGCTGGCCGATGATGATCCCTTTTTTGACCGTTTCTCAAAGCGAACAAAGACGCTCTTTGTGGGCATCGTCAGTTTCACATGCTTTTTGTCCCCAATCTCTAATCTTGCATTCACTCCTGCTATTCCAGAAGTCGCCGAAGCCCTGAATACTACATCGCAAATGATCAACGTCTCGAACGCAGTCTACAACGTCTTCATGTCGATTTCGCCAATGATACTTTCTCCGCTGGCGTCGCTTTATGGCAAGAAGCCGATTATGATTCTCAGCTCATTGGGCTACACTATCAGCTCGATTCTCACGGCTGAGTCACAAAATTTAGCTATGTTTTTTGTCTTCAGAGCGATGAATGCATTTTTTGGAACTTGTTGTTTCAGTGTTGGCGGATCTATTATCGGAGATATCAAGGTTCCAAAAGAGCGTGGCAGAGCCATGAGTTGGGTCTTGATGGGAGCGCAACTGGGTCCTGCTTTTGGCCCGGTGTTAGGTGGCATTATTATCACGTACACGCACTGGAGAGTTATTTTTTACGTCATCACCGGATTAGGAGTGATCAATCTTCTCATGATTGTCCTCTTCCTCAAGGAGACTAGTAGAATGGTGATCTCCAAGGAAATAGCCAAGAGAACAGGGGAAAGGTTTGTTTTCGTCAAGTACAACCCATTTAGAGTTCTTTTGGCTTTCCAATATGTCAACTTGATCATCGCGGGGGTGATCAGCTCCTCTATCATGTACAACATGTTTGGCCTTTTGACCCCTATCAGGCACGTGATCAACCCAAGATTCAATCTCAACAGCCCTGTGCTTGGATCGCTGTTTTACTTGGCCCCTGGATGCGGACTTCTTCTCGGAGGACCAATCGGGGGCAGATTTGCAGATTTCACAGTCAAGCGTTGGATGAAGAAACGTGGCGAAAGAATTCCTGAAGACCGTCTCAGAAGTGCCTCTTACTCTCTTGGATTTGTCATGCCTGTCTTTATGATCATATACGGCTGGTCGCTGCAGAAAAAGGTAGGAGGCATGGCTTTGCCGATTGTCTCCATGTTTTTTTACGCGGTTGGACAGACAATTGCTTTCCCATCCATTAACTCGTATTGTGTGGACTGTCTTCCCTCGCTGAAAGGTGACGCCATCGCGTCGAACTACTTTGCGAGATACATTGTGGGAGGATGTGTAGCTTCTGCTACCTGTCTGATCCAAATAAACAACATCGGAATCGGCTGGACCGCTACTATCAGTGCCTTTGTCTCTTGGATTGGATTTTTCGCCAACGAGCTTATGATCAGATACGGTGCATCGCTGCGTCTAAGAGCACTAGCCAAAATCGAGGCCAAGAATAAGGAAAGAAAAAGCCAGGAAAATTAATTTTAGCGATTTGCAAATTGAGTCGGCCTTTTTTGCGGGCTGTGCAGACCGAAATATGTGGGGTCATTTCTATTGCTCACATGTGATATTTCTGTGGGGTACGGCATGTGATATGGACTCTGCTATATAGACCTTAATATTCCCTCCCGATTTCAGTAATGGACTCGACTATGCCAGAAGTGAAGGTGCCCAACCCGGCGGATTTGATCTGGTCGGAGCGGCTCAAAACCACCTTCGATATTAATAAAATGCATGGATTTATCGAAGGATCAGAGCAGGAAGCCCTCGAGACACTCCGTCTGATGCAGCAGCTAGAGCGTGACCCGGTGCTAAACACTGGAGCAGCATACTATGATCTGTCAAAAGACGAGCACCGGGAGATCACAGCGCGTAAGATTGCTCGCATGGCGCAGTATATGGAAATCGATGCTCCCAACTACTCGCGCTTTCAGAATAGGCTGAACCTGATTGCTGTTGTCGATCCCCAGCTCGGAACTCGGATTGGGGTTCATCTGGGCCTCTTCTTGGGGGCAGTGCGTGGCAACGGGACCGAGGAACAGTTCAAGTACTGGGCCATAGAACGCGGCGCGCTGAGCATCAACGGGGTGTACGGGTGTTTTGCGATGACAGAGTTGGCGCACGGATCCAACGTTGCTGCCTTGGAGACCACTGCCACGTATGACAAGCAGCGAGACACTTTTGTCATCAACACTCCCCACGTGGGTGCGACCAAGTGGTGGATTGGAGGCGCTGCCCACTCTGCGACACACACTGTTTGCTACGCACGGCTGATTGTGGACGGAAAAGATTACGGAGTCAAAACGTTTGTCGTCCCTTTGAGAGACTCAAGACACGTGCTTCACCCGGGTGTTAGTGTTGGCGACATTGGAGCAAAGATGGGGCGCGACGGTATTGACAATGGATGGATACAGTTCAGCCATGTGGAGATTCCTCGCAAGTTCATGCTTTCGAAGTACACCAGCATCACCGATGATGGGGAAGTGCTGGATCCGCCGCTGGCACAGCTTGCGTACGGAGCCCTACTGGGGGGGAGGGTCACAATGGTGACCGACTCATTCCGGACCAGCGAAAGATTCATAACCATTGCATTGAGATACTCTGTTGGGCGGAGACAGTTCACGAATAAGGGCCAGAAGATCGAGAACCAGCTCATTAACTATCCGTTGCACCAAAGACGGCTGCTTCCTTATCTCAGCTGGACATACGGTATGGCAATTGCATCTCATGCAATCCAGCTGTCCTACAAGCAAACTCTGGAAAAACTGGATGAAGGGGTTGCGTCAGGAGATTTCCAGCAGCTCCAACAGGCAATAATCGCACTCAAAGCACTGTTTGGCGAATCTGCTGCCCTCAAGTCCACCTGTACATGGACCTGTCTAAATCTGATCGAGGAATGTAGACAGGCGTGTGGCGGCCACGGATACTCGGCATACAGCGGCTTTGCCAAGGGGTATGTGGATCACGCTGTGCAATGTACATGGGAGGGCGACAATAACATTCTTGCTCAGAACAGTGGACGCATCACTGTGCAGAAGGTGATGGCGTTCAAGAAATCTGGTAAAGCCTCCCGGGAATACGAGTTTTTGGCTAAGGCAGATGAGACAGGTGAAATTTTGGCAGCAGACACGATCACGGATTTAGGAAAACTGGTTTCCGCATTTGATGCTCTTATTCTGAGGCTCAGTCTTGATTGCATCGAGACTCTCAAGGAGAACAATGACTGGGACTCGATTGCCCCGGAGAAGCTGACCCTTTCGAAGCTTTATGCCTGCCGCTTTATCCTGGCAAAATGGGTTGAGAAAATAAACACCTTGAACGAAGACAATAGCGATATTGTTACCCCTTTGGTGTTGCTTGCTCAGCTGTTTGCCCTGACGAACATTGAGGCGTTTGGTTCGCAATTTTTGCGGTTTGCGATCGTCTCGGCTAGCACATTCAAGGCTGTGCTGGAGAAGATTGGAACCCTCTGTCGTGAGATCCGGCCGCTGGTGATTGGTCTCACGGACTCGTTCAAGATGAGCGACTTCTTCATCAATTCCACCTTGGGATCGTACAGCGGCGACATCTACCACCATTACTACGGGGTGGTGAAAATGCTCAACGAGCCGTCAAAAATCAAAGCCGAGTACTCTGCAGATTTCGAACAAAACCTACATCGGGGCACAGTCGAGGAGCGAGAAAATTACGAGCGGACGAGCCAGACTTTGCGGAAATTATAGTATATGTTTGTATGTGCTAAAATCAAAAGTTGGTTAAAACTAGAAAGATTGTCAGGTACCGATGCATAGAATCTGCCCGTGGCTTGTTTGCAGCACCTAAAGCGACATAATTGCGACGCATTAAATAGAATTTTATTTTTAACCCACGCCAACTGACCCTTTAGATTTCGTCCTAATCGGGAAATATGGACTTGATTTGTGTTTACAATTATCTACTATAGGAAATATGATATTCTCACTTATGCAGGTAATTCAAGTGTACATGGACATCACTTGTCAAGAAACCAGCCTCCCATATTGGTGTTTTTCTAAGGCTAAAATTGGAAATGAGATTTGATTTGCACCGATCATGGGAGAAATATAAAAGGAGCCATTTCTCAAGTCGAGTCTGCATCAGAAGACAGTTGAATTATCTTTCCACCTTCAATAAATACATATAATGCAACACAAGCTCTCGCTCATCGGTTCTCTCGGTTTGGCTCTCAATGGTATGGCCGCATACGTTCCATCCGAACCATGGAGCACCCTGACCCCTGAGGGCTCTCTGGCCGGTACAATCACAGACTACTCGTACACTTTTGGAATTGCTATCAACCCTGTCACTGCCGAGGGAGGCAAGAAGGTTAAGAGAGACGTTGTCACTCAAATTGGAGACGGACAAATTCAAGCTACCACTGCTACCCCTTCATCGACCTCTACCGCCGCTGTTGTCACGCAAATTGGAGACGGACAGATCCAAGCCACCACCAGCACAGCTTCCGCTGCTGCTGTCGTGACTCAGATCGGTGACGGCCAAATCCAAGCCACCACTGCCACTCCATCCACCACTTCTGCCGCTGGTGTTGTCACACAGATCGGCGACGGTCA